AGTAGGCGTCCAAAAGACATGCAGTATAGGCAGTAATTAATAGACATTAGACAAGCAGTAGTCAGAATACAGTCATCAGTAGGCAGTCGGCAGCGACTAACACCCGGAGAGAAGCAAAAACCATTTCAGTCATCAATGGAACAGACGGTTGTGAGTGGAACGTATTTTCATGTAGTTTTGGTGATTGATTTTACTCTTCGCTCCCTGCGCATGCACGCACGCACAAACAAACGCACTCACGCACAAACGAACAAGCGCACGTACGAACAAACGAACAAAAGCGCACGCACATACGCACACACGGACACAAGCACGTGCGTACATGGTGAGAAAGAGAGAGCGCGCGCAAGAACAAGAGAACGTTAAATAGAGTGACAAATAAAAGACGCGTAGACGCACATCCGCACGCACGCAAACACACACGCACGCACACACGCACACATGAGTCCACACAGGCACTGCACGCACCAACCAGCAGCATGAATTGTAGGCGCTAGTATGAATGAAATCGTATTTTGTGTTGCACGGCTATCTCCTCGTTCCGTATATGTACTAGATGTCTCTTGTAGCAGAAATCGATGCAACGACGGGCAAGACTCCACATTGCGCTTTTTAAGTCCCAGTCGTCTCCCTGCCACGCTACAGGATGTAACACCGTGACACGCTTACTCTGACCCCCAGCAGACCCAAACCTATTTATGTCATCAACTTTCTCCGCAGGTTTCTAATTCTAGTATGCGACACGCTGCTTTTCATCAGTGATATTACTACACTACAGCTTTATCTCTATCCGTCAGGGTAGTGCTCCTCGTATGTCGAATTCCGACTCCAGCGTATAAACGAGTATTTGTATTTTTGGTTCATAATCTTGGTCATTAGAAGCTGCTAATTCCCTTATGTAGCATGACAGACAGCTGGGTAGCGTGGCGTATATGCTCCCCGGTAAATTTCAGAAATATTGTGTGAAGTAACACAATTTCAAGCATTCTGGAAGCCATTAAATTGCTATACGGATAATTTTATTTTAATTGTGCTCTTGTACAAACGAATCATTACAACGCGAGCACATCATTTCAATATCTGCTTACAAACTTCGTACATGACCCGTTGTTAAGGGGTCCTAGGTAGTCCTATGTTCTACACATAGAAATAATATACTAAATAGACCTGACCTGACATGCAAGGTCTTATTCCTAATTATTAATTGAGGTCTAATAATGGAACGTTATCATATAAATCTGTGATATAATACCTCTTCTCCATTTTAAATGCACAATTTTTGCAAAATATTGTTCTTCCCGGGAGATATTGCGCACGCGCGCGCACCGTTTCCGGCGTGCAGTACGGACTGAAAAAAATTATCTAGCTAGCTATCTATCTATCTATCTATCTATTTCTATGTATCTTATTCTACGTATCGTACTCTCGCCTTACGCTCTTCAGTGAGGCATTAACCTTCGCAAGCTGAACCAAATGTAAGAGCTCAATATTCGTATCTCTCGGGGATATTTGGAGGACAAAATGGGTGCACGCGCTCTACTACTACAGCATCGCCGCGTGCACGTAGATATCGACAAGGCCAACATTTTACAAATTGATGAGCTATATCGGTTCCACGTTACTGATGAATATGTCAAAGAAAATAGGTTTCAGCCAGCATTGAGTTCAACGTGACGTATGGACGTGTGGAGACAGTATAGTCGTTCACATTCCTCCTGCTGCTGCTGCGCGTCGCACGTATAGCAAATTCACTGCACTAAGCCGATTTCATTGCCAACTCAAAGACTCATATTAGACTAATGGTAAAGCATACAACAAAGTCGTTATCTCGCATTAGTGACATTTTCAAGTCATTTAGTTGATGTATTTTTATAGCAGGAGTGGCAAGCTCGGTACGGCGCTAGAGAAGCAGGCACTTGGATAAGTATATTTAAGACGAGAGATGTATGCTGCAATATGCTGCACACTATTCGTTGCGTAGAGGGCGTTTTAATGCGTGCGTGCGTTCGTCGTTACGCTCAAATTTATTTACAGATCCGAATTAATTTATTCGATTTTCCTCATTCGAAAATGACAGCCGAATTTCGTCGACACGTTGTTCACGCTAGGAGAGGAATTCGAAAGGTAGGGCGGGAAGCCAGCGCTGTTGCTTGAGAGTATATGGAGGGTACATCACCATGCTCTGCACTCACGCCAAGCCGGAGATGTAGCTCGCCGAGTCGATAGCTGTTAGTGCGGGAGTTACTGTATCTCTCGGCCACTGATAGTACACAGTGGCTGTTTGACATTCAGTTTTAAGAGCAAGATTTCATATTTTTGATTCTGCTTTTCCAATGCGGGTTGCTGGCCAGGCGTACGCTAGCGGCAAGGAACCACGCGTCCGTGAGAGAAGGTCCCGCGTGCGCGCTCCTACTTGAAATATGTGACGTAGCGAGTTTCTGCGTAAGCCGATACGTTGGACATCTGTCCATCGTTTCTAAATTGGAATTATCCTCTGCGTGGGTAGGAAGTGCAACTTGGAATGTTACATCGTAAGGGCGACCGTCGTAAAACGCCCGTTTCGCTTTCGAAAATATCGCGCCGTAGAACTTTTTTCACGGATGTAAAGGCGAATGAAATTCTAGCCGTCCGTAGAAACACGTTTTTATTAGTTGAAAATTGAATTGACGTGCCGGGCCCTACAGCGCGGACGTACACACACACGCTAGAAGGAGCTGCTGCTTTCTTCTGGAAACTATACGTTTCAACCTGGTTTCACAATTTTTTTCGCGCGCATTGTGCATTCGTAATCGGAATTTTATGCATGCCAGCGTATATGGAATTTTCCTCAACGATTTTTACAAATAACACAAGTATACACGGGTTAAACGCACCGTAATTCTACGTCTATGACAATTATGATCTACCTGTATACCACGGCGTCTACAGCTAAGCAAAGACATTTTATATTCGCGCGATTAGGCATTTAATGCGGCCCATATGATCTCATGAGAACGTATTACATTTACCGATCGGTTGTAATAATGACACTGTTGGCTTAATTGTACTAATCTCTCTCATAGCAGACTCCAGGTTTGTTTGCGTGTATATCAGCGTGTCAATGCGGCCATCCGTCCGTTCATCCATCCATCCATCCATCCATCCATCCATCCATCCATCCATCCATCCATTCCTCCCTCTTCCCCCCTCTCTCTCTCCCTCTCTCTCCCTCTCTCTCTCTCTCTCTCTCTCTCTCTCTCTCTCTCTCTCTCTGCCTCTTCCCCCTTTCGCTATCGGGTGCCAAGCTACGCGAACAAAGCTTTACGTTTTACGCGCGTCAGTTTACTATGCCGATTACCGAATATAAGCGGTCACGTAATGATACAGGTATAGTAAGCGAGCACTGTCTGCATGTACGGTAGTCGCCTGCAGCCCACACGCACACCGGTCTAATAGCGCACACGGATAACAACCGCGGGAGCTGAAGCCGCGTGTTAATCTGCCACACAAGCGGTCCCTGACCTGAGTGCTCTACGCTACCAGCCGATGCCCGGACTAAGTAGCGCACGGAGAGGCGCCTGTATCATGCCGAAGCTATATCGAGTAAGGAGATTATGCGGCATGGAGAAGGTGGTTAGTAGAACCACAGGCACTTGGAGCGTTTCAATAAAATATAATGCTAAATAAATACGAAATTTATTTACTACCAAAGTCTTAAGGTTTCTCTATACTCTCTTTCGCTTATTATTGCCGACAATTTCCTGTAAATGCCGTGCAAATGCTCCTCTGCAACACACATGTACACCGTGCGCACGCTGCCGCACACTGACACACACATATATATATAGAGTCTATTACAGGAAATTGTCGGCAATAATAGGCGAAAGAGAGTAGAAAAACATTAAAACTTTGGTAGTAAATAGATTTCGTATTTATTTAGCATTATATTTTATCAGGAGCTAATAATGACAAATTGTCATTATTAGCTCCTGATTTTATTGAAACGCACCAAGTGCCTGCATTGAGTAGAACCGCATGCCAGAGGAGTAGATAGCCGATGAGGTGATCAGGTACTGAATGAGCGATACAAACAGGGATAGGTGAATTGAAGACTATAGTTCATTATTCTAATTCATTTATTCATAAATTCATAAATTCATTAATTCATTATCCCGGTACAATGCCACGCCATGATTCATGTGATTCATTCCATGACCATGCCCACGCCAAGAGCCGGTGCAGTAGCAGGTAGCACATCGCAGCGACCGTAGCTGGAAAGCTCGTATAGAGAAGTGGAAGCACGTAGCGAATTGGTGATTTATATGGACGCGGCGACTGTGAGATATACAGCTGAGTGTAAGGACTCTCGCGCGCAAACAGAGTGTTCAGCATCACGGGTTGTGTTGACACGCATGACCCGCGTGGGTCCGGTTTCGATACTTTACGCAATGAGCTAGATACACACGGAGAATATGGCATCTAGATGCATGCTTGTCTAACACAGCTAGCGTTTCGAGCCAGTACGTACTACATGGTCGAGGCTCACTGCACGTAAGTCCTACGTGACGCAGCAGCAGGCACTACTAAGCCGCTATCAGACGAAGCTGGCTCGGCTTCATCTTGCTCATGAATGCCGACATGCCGGAGCAACCACAGGGCGGGGTTGACCACCCCGAAGGCTTACCCATCGCATAACGTATCGAGTTGGTGAGACCATGAGTCATAGCGAATGTAGGCTATGGCGGCAGGCTACGTAACCGACATACGGCGCCGCCGCGTTTTACCGAAGGTTGACGGCGGTATATACACAATAGATACGGTAACGGTAAAGCAATGATCCGTAGATTTATCGACTGTGTCGATGCACGGTTTACTGTCAATCAACGCTCAAGATAATCTATTTAATTACCGTAATGTGAAATAATCGCGTTATTTTGCTCCTGCGTAGCACGACAGCAAGACACACAGCTCGGGTGAGCCGAGCGATGCGTCTCGTCTCATGCGATGATTGCGCCACCTACCATGTTCACCAATTGCGAGAATTTGAGCGCCATCTTGACACGGACCAGCTCGCTGACGTTACTGACGGGCCGCACGAGCTTGTTGTGCTTACTGAGCAGATTGTGGAAGAGCTTCTCGGCGTCCGGACTGCCCGAGCACTCTGGAAAATAAACAGCGATGAAATATCAGCTAGCACTAAATTAGATAAATATGGAAATTCGACCGTTTTTATATAGGCTGCACGCAAGACGACAGCGCTGCAAAGATGATACTTACTTGATTATAGTTATAAACGTTTATACGATTGTACGTATATATATAGCAGTATACGCCCGGTAGATACCTTCCTATCGGATTTTAGATACGAACGCCATTTCGTTCTTAATGATTCTAGGACAACTACCACCAGGATAATTACCCCCCGTAGGACAACTACCACCCGGACAACTGTCCCCCGGACAACTACCCCTCTAGGACAACTACCACCCGGACAACTGCCACCCGGACAACTACCCCCCTAGGACAACTACCTCCCTAGGACAACCCTAACCCTAACCCTAACCCTAGGGGGGGTAGTTGTCCGGGTGGTAGTTGTCCGGGTGGGAGTTGTCCTAGGGGGGTAATTGTCCGGGTGGTAGTTGTCAGGGGGGTAGTTGTCCAGTGGGTAGTCGTCCGGATACGGTTCTTAATAGCTGCGGCAGGCAGGCATCTGCTTGTTCGCACCCTCTCTACGTAGTATAGAGAAAACGTGGCGCAGCGTCTGCTATGATAATAAGGCTGTGTGTGTGTGTGTGTGTGTGTGTGTGTGTGTGTGTGTGTGTGTGTGTGTGTAGGGTTAAGTGATAGGGTTAGGGGTAGAGTATAGGGTCTATGGGAGTTTAGGCTGTAGGGGACTCCCTAGTCCACTCGCGTTTAGTGGAGTAGGCGAGGTACGGTCCGGCATATTAGATAGTAGTATGGTTCTTCCTATATATCACGTCACTTTCTATATATGCTCCACGGCACTTGCGCTATTCCAATAAAATGATTGCGGACAAATCTTACCAAATTACAGTGTGGGTCGGACATGGTGACCAATATGGTGCCTAATCGCCTAGCTCCCTAACCCGAACCCTACCCTAATCCTTAACCCTAACCATATTCAAATAGTTGACAGGGTACGTTTCCGGTATACCGCGACCGCGTACCCAGCGGTACGTTTCGCATTAGCTCTAGTACTATAGCCCGCGCGATCGCCTGCGCAGGTCCTGCGGCAGGATCCTGCGCGGCTTATTAGATACTAGGTTGCTGTTCGGCAGTAACTTTGGGGACATTAGACCTTGATATGAGCCGCACTGGGCGCGACATGTTGTCTTGTCCTCTATCCCCCTGCCTCGGCTCGCCGCTCTCCGCTCTTTGTTCCCAAGTTAACCTGGGTCTACTCTGCGGCCAGCCCCATAATTCGTTCGATTTGGCAGTCACGTGCGATTTTTTTCGTTACCCGGTGTCAACCCGGGTGAGATATGAATGTGAGCGATCGCACGATGGGTGCTCACTTGGGGCGGGCGGCGGCGGGCTTGGTGTAAGTATCCCAGAATCCATTGCTAAGCCATGCCCCACCATGCATGGCCGACAATATCAGTGCATAGATCAGTGCGGGATCAGTGCTGCATGAATGTAGCCAGCTGTGAATGACTGTTTTATGGTGTTGCTCAAGGACTGAGTTTTTGAGTGGTAGCGATGATCGTTCTTTACTGGACATGCTCTCTATTCCTTTGAGACCGCATCTTCTTAAATTTTCATTAATAATGAAGATTTGCAATTGTTATTCTTTTTTTTCCTATGTTTCACTGCGCATCCAATGATAATTAATCCCCGGGTTAACAAAACCTGTTCGTTGATCTTCCCTAACCAGTATTGCGTTCCGTATTTCGTACCAGGTTAACCCATGGTGCTCTTGGGGAAGGCCAAATCGACGCACTAATGGGTTATCCGTGTAGACCACTGGTGACGTTAGTAAATAGAGATCATATATAACGTTAGTATATAGAGATCTGATCTCTATATACTAACTGGATAGCTCTTAGTATATAGTAGTTATAGTAGTTAGTATGTAAATATCAGCATAAACTAAGAATAATGAGACACGACATTCAAACATCGCATATGATTGTGCTACTGATACCGCCATCTGGCGTTAGGTGCGTTTTCCAACAGAAACTGTTTTTTTTTATAATGGGAGTGGCACAGATATTCCTCATTATCTATAATTATGAATGTTTTTTAGGCAGATTTAATAAAAAAAATAAGAACCTTGGCTATGAAATAACTGGCCAAGATATAGTACGTACGGTACACACACGCCCACACTCATATATATTATATATATATAATTATACGTATATTATATTATATATCACTTATAATATCAGGGTGGTTATAATGAAATTTTTACAATAATGACATAATTTGTCATGTATTTGCCCCTGATTAATACTCAATAATATAATTATAACTATACCTATTATACTTAGGGACACTAATAAATTGTTCGGCCCTATTATGTTATTTATAGTTTATATTTAGTATTTACGTCGTATAGTATAATATTTTATTATATTATAATTTATATTATATAGGATCCTACACACCACTACGCTCGCACCGTTACGCCTTCGCACCGCGCGCAACACCTACTTCCTTCCCGCCCGCGAGCATGTAGGGAACATTGTTTTAATGTTCTTACCATTTCGATTATTGAATATTCGTCAATTTACTAATGTTACTAATCAAACGTATTTTTATTTCTTGTTAATTTAGTAGCTCAAAATAACTGTTATAGACTTTAGTCCAGCTGATAAGCACATCAAAGAATGGGCATGTTTTATGCACTTTTGGTTAGAATTTTTTAACGCATAACTACAATATAGCTCCTGAAGATTTTCTCGTATTTTCCCCTATTTATTTAGACCTCACTTCAAGAAATAGAAAGAAGATCTTGCATGTCAGTGTCTCCACTGTTTATACCAGTCATGTACACAATCTGACTAACTGTTAGTGTGTTAGCGCATGCGCAATACTTCTCACTAAAGGAGTTATATTTTGTATGATACTGCCATTTTAAAAATGGTTGTAGGGCTGTGTAGTGTGTATGGACTGTGGTCCGCTGCAAAACTTTATACTTCATCTCCGGTCCTTCCCTCGGCTTCATCGTCCCTCTGTGCAGCAATCCGTTTTTCTACCGCTCTTTCACTGTTTCCCTTGCGCTTTCATTTCT